TTCGGATCCCTAACCATTCTGTCCACATCCTATGTGGCTCAGACTAACATTCAGCTATGTCGTGGATTGGTGCTGCGTGCTAACCTGACAACCACCGTGAGCCTTCTTCCAACCTAGTCCAACTTCCCCTTAGCATCGCACGTCGAGTAGGGTGCTGGCTCGGCTTGCATGCCTCATGTCCAAACGACCTCAGCTGACCAAGGTTCCCAACCTCATCAACTGACTTGCGTGTCTCGCCTAGTACCTTTCGGTTGACCTTGACATTTCTCTCATAGTTATTCCACCCTACTCGAGCAGCGCTACGAAGACATCTGTGATCAAAAACCCGAAATCTCTTCGTATCTCCTGCTTTCAACGACCATGTCTCACAGCCGTGTAATGGGACAGAACGAACTGCAGCTCAGTATACTCGTACCTTAATAGGTAGTGGTCGGATATTTTGCTGGCGCCACAGGTAAAGTGATTCGGTAAGTGTCAAACGGGCCTTCTTTATCTGGGCTGAGATTTCGTCAGTGACCACCCGCTTCTGGCTGGTACAACTCTCCAAGTAAGTGAAGCGATCGATGCATCCCACTACTGTCTACTCTATCCTTAAACTGGGAGTAGTTGCAGACTAGTTTCAGATAATCATCATACATTTGACTAGTGCGAGATCTTCATAAGTACTCATAAGAATTTTTATCCCTTTATATCAGAAATTGTTTGCTCGGAACAATGCAGCTGAAGGGTACACTAGCCAACAGACCGAAATAACTCTGCGCCTATTTATGAGACAGAAAGTCTGTTGGCACATAATTATCTCAGCCGTCGTATGACCAAATTACTTTCCGAAGAATGTAGTAGACGTTTCCTATGTGATTTGCTTACTCACATAAATAGCGTGAGACCATAGTAAGCAGCACCTACGAACTGTGATAGGAAAGCAAACAAATTTGAAATGCTTCTAATCTTCCTGATTCACGTGTTGATATCGTTGTTCTTAAACCTGCAAATTTATTTATTAGTGAGATTCATAGACGTCTAAATGTTAACATAATAGAAGCTGAGTGCAAGTGACTTATCCTTGGGAAGTAGAGCATAGACGCTTGACCAATGATGCTCTGGCTATTGAAAACTGTTTGTCTCACTTGAAAACGATTATCGAAGTTAAGAATCCCGATATCCTGTCAGTGGTTAGGTTCCTTTTTTACAATTGACTGAGGTTTTTGCGTTCTACCGTTCGCTCAGAAGCATGTCTGTGACCAGTAATGACAGATTGTGTATCTTTTCATCCCTAAAAGGTGAAATTCGGTTGGTTTGCTAACTTAACTTATTCTCTGCTCCTCTTACTAAAATGCCTAGTAAAATAGGGTACACGGTGTATGTTAACTAATTACCACTTCATCTTTCTAGATTCTACGCATGAAAGCATGCAATTGTGGAATGCATTTAGTATCGGGTTCGATAAATGTTGAAACCATTATCTAATGCTTAGATTATTGACGGTTGACTGACGAAATCATCTAATCGGTTGATATGTGCTGTCAACACCTATCAACTCACGTCATCATCCAGTAATAAGTGTTAGAAGTTGTATTCTCAAAAGTTATTTATTTCGTCATACTCAAAATTTGAATCCAGTACACTTTGAACACCGACAAGGAATGTTTCATACACAATAATGTAATTAAAGTTTGAAGATGTAAGACGATGATCAGGAGAAGAAAAATAATTGTTGAAAGATGAATTATCACAGCTTGTATTATTTCCTATAGCTTTTTAGATAAAAAGGCACACAAGGCAACTACTCTATAACTGCTACTGATTTCATTTATGAACCATAGGTGATAACATCTCAGGCAACTGGGTTAAACAGTGTCTTCGATCCTACCCAAGTAGTTATATGCGTCAACAAAGGCGCCAACCCGATTTCACTGTCATTCATCACATTGCATGTCTTTGTGAACTTATCATCTCTCCGTTTTTATTTACGCTTTAATTATCGAAGTTGTTGTACAGTATGCAAACTTCTGGGATAACACGCGTCCAGGTCATTAAGATGGTATTTCAGGATTATGTCACCTCTTGAATGGCAGTTTCCTTCTTGTCCAAACACCTTTCTTCGCACTTCTGATTTACAAGATAGTCTCACCAGTGGTATGTGTAACTCTACGGATCAAACAGTAACCGAATAGAATATAATATTTGTAATTTGTTACTTAAGTGATTAGTTTGTTTATCTGAAATTACTGCAATGTTTGCTGCTTATTCCCTTCACAATTTGCATCTAGAAATCTAAATCACTTTTCACTTCGTTTAAAAACTCTTTTCCGCTTGTTTTGTAAGTGTATTTGTTAGCCTTTTATCGATATTTATTATTATCTCAGTGTATTTATTTGCATATTATCTATTGTTTAATGAAATTCGACTCTTTAATTGTTTTAAGGTAAACAGCAGTTTCATCTGTTCTGGATAGTATCTTGTGTATTGATTATTTGGCAGTATATACTATATTACATATTGCTCAACGTGTTTATTCATCATATGGTTTAATTTTTGAAGAGTACGATGTATTACGACGTTGATGGGGTTGCAAACCTTTATCAGCCTAGGTGGATGGTGTTACACATGCCTAGTGAAAGTCTGCTTTGAAACTGCTACTTTTGAGCCATGTAGGAAAATGTAGACTTTCGGGTTAGGGCCAAACTGGCAGCTGAAATCGGTAGTTCGAGACTAGTTTGTATGACTCAGAACCGATCTCATTGTATCAGATGATTTCCCACATCATATTCATCCTAATCGTCATACTGACTTCCATTCTTGTCCATTCCCTTCTTTGTTTTTGTTTACGGCTTTCTACCACTTTCGATTTATTTATTTCTCGTTCCTCTGTCTTTCATCTTAGTGGATTCTCGCTTGATATAATGATGTAAAGTATGCCAACTTGGACCGTCACTCAGTAATTTACATTCGCATCTTGATATTGACGGACCAACTATACTATGAGATGGAGAAATCTCCTTAGATTTTGAATTTGGATAAGATTACCATTAACTGGAAAGAACCGAGAAAACTTAAGAAGTGGATTAATAACATAGCTGATATAGTGACTTTGAAATAGAAGCAGTTGTTAGTTATGAATATCTTTGTGTATGCAGTGAAGCAAGTGAGGTGTGTCAAATAAATAACAAAATTGTTACAGCTTGGTGTTCTCCAACCTGTGAACTTTGTTATTGGATGTTTCATCATCAAACTGGGCGATTTCATTAGCACATACTTCGTAAAGAAGTCACGTAGGCTGGTTATTAAACGTTCAGAACTAGACGTCAAACCTCAAAGAGCACCGGATAACATTAATAGTCTGTGTCTATTAGTTGAGCTGAAACTGTTCATTGGAGTAAAACCACTTAAGATCAATCCATCTCATGAACAATAGGAAAAGTTTATAAAACTAGAAGAGACAGGTCACAAGATTAATGTTTCTACATCCTTTGAACTTATTTACAAAACGCTCTACGTGACGCATCCTCAAATTTGTCGAGACTTTATCTTTAGTTTCAGGCCACTTTCATGTGTACAATTTATCATTACAGTAAATTTTTCTCAGTGAATTCAGCAACAAAACCAATGTTGGTGTACTACAGTTTTTGTTCTGTTAATTTTCTTTGTTATTTTTACCTTCACTTTAGACTTTCTATTTGATAACCTTTTTTACATTTTCATCCCTTAAAATCTTTCATGTAGATAAACATAACATAAATACGTGCGTGATTAGATTGTTCAAAACAATTTAGACAAATCACATTGTATTGTTTTGTCGAACTTTATAAACGAAAATAAATGTTTTAAGTAACTGACTATTACTTTTATAAAATTGGTAACGGAGTGATTATTCTCTGTTAACTGTTTCCTGAATGAATGCTTTCGTCATCGTTCTAAAACTATAGATTTATAGTACCTTAAATTATTAAGTTTACAATTATCCTTATGTAACATATCTATATTCAGGAACACAATGGATAAGTAACAAAAAACTCAATTTTTTCACTTCACTTCTACGTCAGCATAATTCTGAAAACTGGTTTGAAAGGCAAATTTATAAAAGCTACGTTCGTGTTTTTATATTTTGTTTGTTCTTTGAAGTTTCTTTAGCGGTTAGATTTGTTTTCCGGTGTAGGGTTGCTAGCCCTATTCCCAACCTTCCCTCTTTACTCGGGCTTAGGACCGGTTAGTAACTAGTTAACCAGGCTCTGGGACCGAACCAACCAAAAAGCTATCGCTCAACAAATATGCATTGGAAGGAAGTGGAGATGGATTGGGCATACACTGAGAAGGTCGACTGGGGACATCCTGCCCCAGGCCCTCGTGTGGAACCCCGATGGGAAGCGACGAGTTGGGCGTCCGAGGGTGTCATGGAGGAGATCGTGCGAGGAGGAAATGAGAGCTTGTGGGCTGCCGTGGAGCCAGGTTCAAAAGATTTCAGAGAACAGAGTGGAATGGAGACGTGCTACTGAAGCCATATGTTCCATTAGGAACCCAAGGGACAAATAATAATAATGTTCGTGTTTTAATTCATAAATCAGGCTCCATCTGCTGTCAGCAGCCAAGTTACTCTTGGTGGGATGGCTAAACTCTCTGAAAAATGATAGTTTTGGAAAATCCAAGTGACTAGCTTAGATAAATTAGCCGTCAAAATTATTGAACATACAACCTGGTGACTACTTTCCAGTTTGTTGTTACTGAGTTGTGAAATACAAAAATGTGAAGCTTGTTATACTAATTAGTTGTTTAAACCGCAAGATATACTTCTTTCTCGATCTGTACTGCCTTATCTGGAAGTTAAATGCCTCAGTCAGTGAATTACATTTCGAATTAACTATTCGATTACCAATTCGAGATGAATAAATTTGGTTCATTTTTTTTTGTTTACCTTCACAATGTGATTATTGAACGTTTATATTAAGGATTGAAATCGATTATAGTCTATAGTTTTCATTTATATTTTTATATTTTACTAACAGGATTGTAAAGATTCAATTAGTGATATTATAAATAATAATTCACAGTCTTTACCGCGTGAATATGCTCAACCATTCATCCTCTCAACTACTTCTACTACTTCTACTACTAGTACCCAACATGACTCAATAAATCGTTCAACAGCCTCTAAAGGATGTACGGTTGTCATCGCCCCAGTTCATCCTAGTAATAATAATAAAATTGGACAAATTGAATCCAATACTACAGATGATCCTGTATGCTTGCCGTAAGTCTGAGTAAAACTCTTACTAACAATAATAATAATAATAATAATATTATTATATAAACAACCTAGTTCAGTTTTGTATTTAAACAAACAAAAAATGCAATAACGATAATGATAAAGTTGTAGTTGCTTTAAAAAAACGAAATTTTTTTTCTCATACAATCTAGTTAAAATCACTGTCTCTAGTGAATAACTGTGTATAAATCTGTACATCATTCATTTTGAGATATTATTTAAACATGTTCACTTATTTCATTTCAAAGGCTTTTATTTCCTTTTATTTTAATACAGTTTAAGATGTGTATTTGCGTGTTATATTTTCAGTCAACAAGTGCATAGGGTGATCCCCTGATACGTTTTACAAGATTGAATAATTCAGAAAATCTTTCGTAACCTATGCACTGCAGTAAAACACATCAATAAAAATATATTTACATTTAAACAGCCTTCAAATTGTTAAAAGTGGCACATTTAACGCGGAATGATAAATGTTAACACAAGATGACATATTCTATTCATTGTTAATGAAACCATCTTAGATTGCCATGATTTGGCAGACTATTATGATTGATACACACTGAAGGCGATATCCGATTGCCTATTAAGGCTTGAGTGTACTGTGTTGCAGACCGCTCTGTTCTACTCTGTGGCTATGAAACATGAGCATTAGAGGTTGAAGACATGAGAAGGCTTTAGGTGTTTAGCCACGGCTGCCTTCGTAGCATATGCCATGTTTTGTGGTGTCACCATTTGAGCAACGAGAAGTCAGGCGTCGATTTTTAGGAAGGGGAGATGGGTCAGTTTATACGGTTGGGAACCTTCATCGACTGAGATGGCTGGTACATACGTTACGTATGCCTCATCACACAATGTTGACCGAAGTAGATTCAGACTGGAAAAATGCTTGCGATGACCAGACTAAAACAGTGCATGAAGTCCTTGACCGTTGGTTTCAGCCATGCAGGGCGACGCAGACTAGCTGGTTGGGGTCCGCGGAACAAGAGGAACCAGTGGTTGGAGACTCACTCTTGGTGATATGGCTCAGAACCGATGTGAGTGGCGCAGATGTGAACACACATTATCCTCATCTCAACCATTATACTTAGTCTCATCATTATCTCATTCTTTCTTCGTCTCTTGTACTACTTTCTGCTTCCTTTGACCGATTTTTCTTCATCTTCCATTATATTGCCTTGTTACATGATGTGCTGATATGAGGTGTGGCAACTTGGACCGTCACACAATAATGCTTGGTCTTATGTTGATTTTGATGATGGCGATGATGATATCAGTTAGTAATATGTATCATCGGCCCTACGTTGAAGCAGTGCATAGTAATTACTGTTACACACATGTACAGACAAAGTATTTGGAACATTGTACATGCCAAAGTCTTTTGATTATATTTAATTATGAAATAAAAAAGAAATTTTTAGTACTCAACTAAGAATACGCTAACATGTTAATGACTACTTTTATGAGACTATAGGAAATACATTTCAGTTTAATCTTCATACTAAGAAAGCAAAATGTTAAAATGTGCTCTATCACAGTGCCTAAGTTTTACCCTTACATTACTGACACCAAAGTATACCGAAATGCAATGTTTCAGCATGCTATAAGGTGTTTGCTCACGCGACATTGAGCTATTTTATTGGTCTGTAAGGGTTGTATATGATTTGTAGATATTGACTAAAATTGTACTGATAACGATTCCTGACTTCACATTAGAAACGCAAGATTAGAAGACAGCTTGACATGAACTCCAACATTACGCAATACAATCAACTGTTTATACAATAATCTCAATGCTCAACCTTGCTTCTAGTGATATTTAAACTCAATATTTGCACAGAAGCGTAGTTCACTCGTCTCAGCTCATGACCATCCCTTACTTTACAGTATAGTATATTCAGTGCCAATCACGTGTATATTCTGTTCAAAATAAAAGGATAGTAGTTTTTTGACCGTTTAGACATGTATCATGGACACAGGCTACAATTTAGTCTGCAAACCTTTTTTTAAGTAAAAAGATATATATATATATATATATATATATATATATATATATATATACTGTGTAATGATTGATGCTGAAGTGAAAGTTCAAACCGCAGCCGGATTCGAACCAGCGACATGCGGAGTTTCTCGCCTATAGCCCTACCAACTGACCTACTGGCCGGAAACCGCACAGGTCGCTGGTCCGAATCCGACACCGGTCCAGATTTTCATTTCACCTTCATTTATCACCCAGTACAAATATTAGTCTGCCAAACCACGGCTATCTCAGTCAAAATGATATGCATATATATTATTATTATTTGTCCCTTGGGTTCCTAATGAAACATAGGGCTTGAGTAGCACGTCTCCATTGCACTCTGTCGTCCGCAGTCTTTTCAACCTAACTCTACGACTGCCCACAAGCTTTTATTTCTTCGTGACATGATCTCCTCCATGTCATCCTCGGATACCCAACTCGTCGTTTCTCTTTTCGATTCCACTTGAGGGTCTGGTGTGGCGTGTGATGTCCTCAATTCGCCTTCTCAGTGGATGCCCAATCCATCCCCATCTCCACTTTGTTCTGGATATTTGTTGAGCGATAGGTTCTTGGTTGGTTCGTTGCCAGCCAGCCAGAGTTCCTTGTTGCTTATTCTTTCTTGCCCTATCATCTGAGCTTCAGTATCGAGCGTGGGCAGTTGTTGATGATGTATGTCTGTAGTTTGTTGGAAATGCTTTTCGTGACGTGCCGAGTCTCTGAACTATATAGAAGCACTGACTTGATGTTGGTGTTGAAAATCCGGGTGTTTATGCTGATTGCAGAAGATCTCCACACTGGTTTCAGTTAAATGAATGCTTGTCTTGTTTTACCGATCCTGACTTTGACATCCTCATGTGTGCTGCCTGTAGTTGAAACGATGCTGCCTAGTTGGTGGTTGAAGGAGGCTACTTCCTTTGAGTTTCTCCCGTTGATGGTGATTGGAGTCTGTTGTTGTTGTTATTATTTTTGGTTGGGTGTCTTATGCATATATATCCTCTAGATCATGTAGAGTAAATTTAAGAATTAGAATTGAATTACTTCAGTAATTAGGTATTCTACAAAGCCAATATTACTACGATTGCAGTTCTTCTCTTGCCGATATTCGGTATTTTGCTCTGAAGTACTGACAACTTTTGGATTCATGAATTATTCTGTTCTAAAACCTTCATCATTCAGCCAAAGGTTACTTTATCGCAAATAGTATTCCTTGAAATAAGATACAATGCTTGTCGTATCGAATTGTGTCAAAAGTGTAATTTGATGTGATTAATTTATTGCAATTTCTATGAGGCGAATCTAGCGAAGAAAAATAAAACATCTAATTTTCAATGAAACACGCTACTTATTAGACTTTGTAAAATGATAGTTTTGCATGTTAACTCATAATTCTCTTCAGTGAGGTGGTCAATACTATTAGTTTTGTTAATCGTAGAGTCGTTTCTTTACTTAACTACGCTATTCTTGAACAGATTTAGATTGAATGAAAATTTTTACAACCGTTTTCAAATGACCAGAGATGGAGCGAGAGCAGTCAAACAGCTATCGGTAGATTTTATTAGTCACATTACTTACGTAATTTTCATCATGATTTCTCTTCTTAAATTCATATCACTACTAGTGTTATTCTAGTAAAATGGATTAAATAAGCAAAATACAGTGATCATAGTATCATTTATGCGCCATGTTAGTCTGTTTGTTTCGTTTGATATAATAACGTCATAGTTATAAATGTAGAGGAAGAATCAAAAGGGAGAAAAGAAAAGCATCAATATTACTGTCTTGTGTATTTACGTTGAAACTGTCCTTGAATTACTTCTAGTCATTTGTTCATGTGTTTATTACTGGCCATCCGTATAACTATTTCTGTTATTGTTAAGTTTGCTTGTTGTATCCTCTTGTCGCTTTAGGCGTTACCATTTTCTAATTTGATTTGTTTAGATTGATATTCCTTTTTGTCTGTTCAGAATAAATAGTGTTCTGAAAATATACTGCCTATTTTTTCATATAAATAATATATTACTTAACACATCGCATCAATCTGTATGCTAATTTCCTTTGTGTGTAGTCTTTGAAAAAATCGAAGGGATAACTTTATTAGATTTTCATTTTGACTATTTCAGATAATCGTGATTTAGCAGACAAATATTGATGCTGTGTGAAGATTGAAGGTGACATGGGAATTTGGGCCACGACCGGATTTAAACCAACGATCCACCAGGTTTTCGGCCCGGTATGGGATGAGAATTCCTAACTGGGCAGCTATTGTGAGTACGATCAAGCGGTAGTAACGCGTCACGAACTCACATGGTAGTCGGGCAAAACCCTTGGTGATTGAGATGAAACAAAAATCTGGTCAGTAGTCTCGCCCAGTAGTTCAGTTGGTAGAACGCCGGGCCGGGAACCTGGTGGTCGCTGGTTCGAATCCGACCGCGGTTTAAATTTTCAATTTGCCTTCAGTCATCACCCAGTATCAACTTTACTAGTATCATCTTTTCCTTCATTTCCGTATGTGCGCCTGTGTGTTCTTATAGATAATGATTGGCTGTATAATTATTGATTCAACCCTAACTGTACAAGGAGGACGGGAGCGAAGGAATAGTTAGTGCTCGCCATGTGTCTCATAGCATATCTTATTATTATTATTTGTCCCTTGGGTTCCTAATGAAACATAGGGCTTGAGTAGCACGTCTCCATTGCACTCTGTCGTCCGCAGTCTTTTCAACCTAACCCTACGACTGCCCACAAGCTTTTATTCTTCGTGACATGATCTCCTCCATGTCATCCTCGGATACCCAACTCGTCGTTTCTCTTTTCGATTCCACTTGAGGGTCTGGTGTGGCGTGTGATGTCCTCAATTCGCCTTCTCAGTGGATGCCCAATCCATCCCCATCTCCACTTTGTTCTGGATATTTGTTGAGCGATAGGTTCTTGGTTGGTTCGTTGCCAGCCAGCCAGAGTTCCT